TAGAGTGAGAGAGAGAGAGGAGAGAGAGAGAGAGAGAGAGAGAGGAGGGGAGAGATAGAAAGAGAGAGAGAGAAAAATGGGGAGAGAAGGAGAGATATTGGGGAAGAAAACGGGGAGAGAGAAGGGGGTGTGGGAGATACAAAGGTCAAAGGAGAACATTAGTACTCTGTTAGCAGTAATTATCCCAGTCAAACCGACAACACCGAAACCTGGCATCGTTTTCACGAAACCGTCACAAGTACAAGCGAACCGCCATCCCATTGAACCCGTGTTAAGTACAACAATGGGATGTCGGTGATCTTGCAATTTTGACGGTTTCATGAAACGCTGCCATGAGCGACAATTCACCGAACAAGAGTCGGGCAGTTGAGTCGATTTTGAGTCGGTTAGGCGGTTTGAAAGAGGTATGAAGGTTATTTATATAAGAATGAGTTTTTCTAATCGCAAATTACTGCATATATGGTTAGAAATAATTATGATAGGAAACATGCGAGCGACCGAAGCAATCGATTAGATTGATTGTGAGAGTCTTATTTATACCACTATTCAGTGATTATGTATTGTTATCTAAGTAATTTAACACATACAAAATATTTTGTTTTGTATCTTTGGTTTTGTTTGCCCGTTTGAATTTTTTTTTCTGCATTTGTCGATATAATAAATAAGTAATTTACACACTAGGTACTAAATTATGTGTTATTAACAAAAGTCAAAATACATAATTTAAATCAATAATTATATTAAAATAACACATAGTTGATCAATTATTTTGAAATTGAAAAATGCAGGAGACCGCCACCATGCCTTGACTTTTTGTACAGGTGATCGAATGGAGATGTAAAGGCTGAGTTGAACAGTAAAACTAGAGCTTGAACGTGATGACGTCCTTAATTTTTTTTGGCTAGCCGATATTAATTTTAAGAAATATGGGTCACTGATAATCATGGAGGAAGAATTTTAAAAAGTCAAATATTCTAACCAGGTCAAGGGTGTTGAATTGAGTGTATGAGAACGTGGCTGTAGTCCCAGCCCTCTCCTCATCGATGTCCGTTTGGAGGTCATCGACAGTGACTTCGACGTCTAGATCACGACCGTTGACGAGGCCGAGAACGAGATCTTGGTACTCGGGGCTGACTAGCATGTCGACTGGGCGGTCGACGTCAGCAGGCTCCTTCCAGAAATTGACCTACAATTGAAAAATTATCATTCAAGGTCATCAAAGATTATACTCCTACTCTTACTTTTTGCGCCCCAATCCAATGTAAAGTCCACAAAAAGGAAGAGTGAGCTAGAAGGGTTCGAAATGCGAAAAACCCAAACTCACAAACTCGGTGGCTTTGCTTCCTTGCATATATTTCATTAGAATCTAGAAATATTGCACCCCAAAATCTCTAAAGGTGTATAATTATACAACATTCGAACAAAAAGTATACACTTCTAATAACCCAGCTAAACCATATTCGTTAAGTCAGTGCCATGAAGATGAAATAAGTCACATAGAGTTTTCTTTTACTATTCTTGTCAATAATTTAACGAAATTAACGATCAGTTGCTGAGCTACATTAAAGAAAAAAAATATGGTAAAAGCACAAGAAATTGCGTTTCCTAGTAAACCAACTTATAACTCTTGATCGCTTTGCTCTTACGCTTCATTTTATCGTTATCAAACTTTGGTTACCAATCTCGGGTTTAGTACATTGAACTTAATCATAACGTGTGATGAAGCGAGGAAATCTGGTTTGTATATATCATTTTAGTTGACAAGTTCAGGTATGGGGGGGGGGCGCAATTTCTTTGTTTGCCCCTATTTTTTTGTTGTAATCACTAGATACGTCAAAGCATGATACCAAACTTTATGTTTAAGCCGTTACTTACATAGTTTCCCAGTACGCTCTTGAGAACGACTAGCTTCTCCAGCTGCAGGCGATCTTTAGGGGTGACACGGAATACCTTGTACCTGAATAATAAGAGGGTAATTCAATTTTTCTTTTAAAGTTATTGCTCCTTTTTTGAGGGGAGAATCAGTGTTTTGATACACGTTCAGTTCAAAATTGTCAAGTTGTAAAATTATATCATCTCTCTCTCTCTCTCTCTCTCTCTATCTAACCCTCTCCCTCTTTGTGTGTCTCGAGCATAATTCTTTCAAATTCAAAAATGTTTTTTTTTATTATATAGCACAAACATTGGTTCATACAAATACATGTTTACACGAAAGACAGCCACGACTGGAATATTCACAATTATGTATTACCAATAACATTTCAAAATAAGATAATAATTCGATAAATTGTTTGAAAGCAAATCGATACGAGTTTACCAATCTAAAATACAAGAAGTCCATAATACACTTGTACTAACCCATCGTAATTGACGGCTAGCGCAGTAGCTAAGAGAGCAGTGAATACCAGAAAACGCATCATCTTCGCGTCTGTTCCTTCACGATCAACGGCAAAGAATAAAGTGGTAAAAGCGTCTCTAGCACCGTATGTTATTAAACTATTATCTATAAAACTAGATAATCAGGGAATAGATAATTATGGAATAGATAATAGTAATGAATATTAAATAAATGGTGAATGTGAGGGGGTGGGTCATTCTAACCCCCTCCTACATATTTCACTTTTGGAAAACCAAGGCCTAAGTACCTAGACGGATTTCAGTCACTGCAAGAACAATACGCATCTTTTTTTTACTGCATCACCTAGATAATTTATTTATTTGACGTAATCATAAAGTGAAAAAGTCGTTTTCATTGTATTCCTACCTTTCTTTACTTCTAACATGACAAGGATTTGGACTGTATTGGACAACGCACACACAATAATATTGTGTATATAACTATATAATTAGGAATCACTTTGAAATAGAAAAGTACACCATGAATTTTCCTGCATACTTTGCTTTTAGTTTGTGGTATAAAGAAGCTTTTTAAACTAAAAAGAAAGGGTAAATATACATATTAAACACATGTATATTATTTATTTTATAAGATGATGTTATATTCGTTTTTTTTTATAAAATGATGTTTTATAACATGATTTAACTAATGACTGGTCATTAGTAAAATAACGTGTTAGGCAAAACAAATGCCTGGTCACGTGTACGCTCTCGACCAATCATTTGATTAGGATATGCTTCATCATCTTATAGTATACGATATCTCTATTTTTGATACTCATACGGGATTTTGCCCGGGAAGCAAACATCCCTTTTTCGAAATAAATTCTAGTTATTCCTCATTCCAAAACGGCTTATTAGCATTGACTCCACCCACTGTCACTTTGCACACGGCCCATTTTTGCACACGGTCAATCATTTTTCACACGGTTTAAAATATTGCACGCGTTCCATTCAGAATCGCCACAGCTGTTTGTATCGTCCCATCCATCAGTCTTATTCTGATAATGTCACAATTACATTAATTAATAATGCTGATATTAACCATTTTCAGCTTCGTAACCATTCTGGGGTCATCTTTTCAGCAAATTTAGCCTTTTAATGTTACTCTGTAATAAAAGTAGAGGTACTTGTGGTTAAATGGTAGAAATACTTGACTGACGATGCGAAGGTCCAGTTTGGTTCGAGCACCGACACTCACTAACAAAAGATACCATCTTTGACCCAGGAGTAGTTATCTGAAAGAAAAAACCCTTGAATGGTAAAGCGCCGTTATTGCAGTGGGAATAATACTCTAACATCAGGAGATACAATGGCTCAGTGGCAGAGGCCCACTTGTAATGGATTGAAATTCGATTTAAAGAATGTCTACTTTTATATTGAAATGTAGCTGTTTTATTTCTAGATATTTTCAAAACTAAAAGAACTCTCATCATTAAACATGTATTTCTGAGTTTATGATAGGTCGTTGTGACTGTCAAAGTTTGGGGCGTACTTTTGTCACAGATCTCTCTCTCTTCCGGTTCGAACAGCTGATTGTGTTCTCATGGCTTCTTGTCATAATCAGATTAAGTATCTTTACTGATGATTGTTATTAATTAATTAATTATTGAATACGTCTATGATTGCTATATCAACACCTTATCAGGAAAGTTCAACGTGAAGGTTATGAATAATATTGGGTTGTGAATTTCCCTGTTGTGCGTTATAGATGTACATGTATTTCATTACTTAACTACATATAACATATATTTATCTTTGTTATAACATTATGTCAGAAATGCATCTCAGCAATGCACTAAATATTTCATACTATCAATTTGAATGCAGAGAAAATCTAATCAATGAAACATGTAAAGATGAATTTAAGTTCTGGTCTTGCAATCGCAGTGTGAAAGAAATTGTCTCGAAGCAGGAGACCGGTTTACTAAGATTGGTTCAAATTTTATGCATAGTTCTTGACCACTTGAAAGCTTGCCCGAGGCTTGCCTGATAAAGCAACAAGTCATGTATGCAGACTGGATTCTAAGTATTGTTATTCATTTATTAATAGCAGGTTAATTGAATAACTTGTTACTACTATTTACTAGATCCCCAGGAAAGAATATGTTAGAATCTAAAATCAAAGAATCATAGCGAATTGTTTTTGAAGGTTTACTTATAGCCTTTGAGGATGATAATAATGAAATAGTTCTATTTATAATAATAAATAATAATAATAGCCTAATAGTCCACTCCAAATTTTATCGCACATAACTGTATCCATCCCCAAGAAACGAAGTAGTATTGTTACCCTGGTTTAGCACAGCTGCCCTATAAGGCGCTAAAAGCATTACAGGAATAACATCCTACCAGATGCCTATTCACTACAGGGCAGAGAGGGCAAAAGCAAATTAATATCTTTCAACAAAAAAACAAAAAAAAAGAAAAAAGAAAAAAAGATTAATATCTTTCAAAAGGATATTAGTTCCGTGGTGGGACTCGAATCACGAAACCATGCATGTGACCCACAGTCTGCTGACTTATCTACGAGACCCCGATACCTGGAAACCTCTACAGGTTCTTAAGCGGCATGCTGATAATAATTATTCAATCTCTTTCAGCTCGACTTCTGGAGGGAGGCGACGCCGTCTTCGATCGGTCGTCCCGTCGACATCATGGTACCATCGAGCCTTCGGAACAACGTCCACGACATACTGACGTCACTCGATCTAGACGTCACAATCACCATCCCCGACGTGGGAGCCCTAGTGAATGGCCAGATGACAGAGATTCAAAAGAGACAAGTAAACGAGCCAGTCGGTACAACAGCCCTATCCGATTTCGACTACACACGATACCATACGTATGATGAGGTAAGGATATGAATTCAGCGAAATTTTACAATGAAAGAGGGGCGTCCATCCATTTTGAAGATGGTGGGGTGAAGGGGGTGGGGGGGGGGGGCTGGCTAACACCCACGTTAGAAGCGTTCGTGTCAGTAACTGGTCGTATTTACCTAAGTCCGTGAATATTTCTGCATAGTATACTATTTGCAGAACCAGCTTTAAAACAGTCTTTAAAAAAAGGAAAATTTCATTGTGTGGGTGTATAGTTTTATCATTATCAAACATCAATGGGGAGGGTAAGCTACTGGCAACTGCAAAAACCAACCCCCGGGCCTGCGACGTAAATTAATGAAGAACACAATATCTGTAATGGTAATAACAAGGTCTAATATCTATTTAAAAAAAACATATTGATCATCTCGTTCCCTTTATGCCCAAATAAATGACTTTATAACCAATTTTTACTTCCCCCCTGCAGATTCAACAATGGGTGTCAGACATTGTGAGTGAGTACAGTGACATCGCGTCTCCCTTTCTGCTCACAACCTCATACGAAGGAAGACCAATCAATGGATTCCGTGTAAGCAATTTATAGAGATCACTTTACAAATTTACTAAAAATAAGATAATGAGAGAGAGAGAGAGGGGGAGACGGGAGAGACAGATAGGGGTTGAGAGAGCAAAAGAGAGAGAGAGAGAGAGGGGGAGAGCGAGAGAGAGAGAGAGAGACAGAGACAGAGACAGAGAGAGAGAGAGGCAGAGAGAGAGAGAGAGAGAGGGGATGTTTGAAATCTTTATAAGACATATGCTACTCTTCCCGGGAGTGAAGAGTGAATTGGAGTAGGTTGGAATAAAATCTCGTAAAACTTCATGGTAGTTTGGCCGCAGCTCATGTAATCACTTTCAAAAAGCTTAGAACTCTATTGGAGCACAGGTTAATAAACGCCAAATAGAAGTCGAAGAAATAATCCACGAATCAGAAGCATGAAGCCTAATAAAATATATATTTGAATCTTGTTATAGATCAGAGGAAGAAATAGCGATGCGAGCGTCACCCCTCCCCCTGCAGTATGGTTTGAGGGCGGTATACACGCAAGAGAATGGATCAGTCCAGCCACCGTCATGTGGTTCACAGGAAAGGTAATTTTATTTTTATTTCTTGCTTTGATAAACACTAAGACTTAACCCGTTTCTTTACAAAAAAAGTCCTGGCCTGGCTGTCTTATAAAGAGTTACGATTGACCGATCCGAATCAAGTTTGCAGTCTCTTATGTCTTATGTACATAGTTGCGATCGATATCAATCGCAAATAAGTTGCAATTAATATCGACTCTTTATTAGACGGGGCCCAGGGCATCGTTTCATGAATGGTCATAAGAACAAGTTCGTCGATAACTCATTGAAACATACGTATTAAAATTAACACGCGTTTTGAAGATACGTCCTCGAACTTGTACTTGTAACCGCTTCGTGAAACGATGGAAAGAAAATTTAAATATCAATTCTTAAAGTCATGAATGTCAGCATCTCTGTGGAAATGTGTCACGGAATCAGTGGCCGATGTGTGTGTATGTGTGTGTAGGAGGGGGGGGGGGCAGCCGAAACCTTTTTACCACCCCATCCCCCCACATCTATACAATAAATACACAAATGAAGAAAAAGTGTCCCCTAATTGTGTATCGTGCACACAAAATTCGACATTAAAATACAGCTGAGAATGTGATTTTTTCCCTGATTTGTTTTTTTGTTTAGGTTTGCTCGTCTTAATAATGTGTTCCCCATTTTAAGACTAAGATCCTGGATTCACCCCTTTGGGCTATGCCATGTATAAAGCAAACGACAACTCATGTCCAACTCATTAATCTCAATATCTTAAGTGGTCATCTAAAAAAAAAAAAAAAATCAAGATTATACATGTAAATTATCCTTGTTAATTACAAAGTGAGGTAGTTATCTATTTTTGAAGATATATAAAATAATTATGACGTTCGCGGTTTTTTTTCCTTCAATGAAGCTTCTTCAAGATTATGAGGACGGCGACGAACTTGCCGTGAATATGTTTGACAACATGGACTGGTACATCGTCCCATCTCTCAATGTCGATGGCTACACTTATACTTGGACCAATGTAAGTCTATCTAATAGAAGGGTTTGGTTACCACTAAAAACAAATTTGGTAGTGTTTATCACGTGGTTCATATTACACTATAATAAGGGTTGATATCGTCCTGTCGTTGTGTTTTTCATTTGGAATTGAGAACTGAACATTAGCTTTTATATAGATACCATCAGTTTTTTGTTTTTAAACTTAAATATAAGAGACATGTTGCGTAGACAGATTAAGAAGTAACATGCACGATGCATGATGTTGAATGAAACGTAATAAAAGTGACATTCCATACCTCTGACATCACTGGCGATAATGAAAGCATATTAACCAAAGTCCGAGTATGAGCTTGACTAAAATAATAATGTAAAGATTATTGATATATTTTTAAAAATCATGTAATTTGAAAGCAATCTCCGATTTTCATCTGCTAACTTAAATATTCGTTTGTCATTTTCACAGAATTAAGATACTTTCTCCAAAATAGAAGGGTTCACATTTGGCGCTTCAGCAATCAAGATACTTATTTGTTTGTTTTCTTCTTCGTTTAAAAATTTTATATCCAGCTTTATAAGTCAATCCTTTGTTCTTTTACTAGACAGCTCTGAAAAAGTTAAAGTAATGTACAATTCTAAAGAGATTGAAAAAAACTGTTGAGTTCCATCAGTTTAAAATGTAAACGTTTTCCATCATCTTCTTGATACCACGGAAGATTAAGTTTCTACAGCGAGAAAGATATTGTGAGTTTGTGACGTCACAGTGCAAGTTTGTTCTCTATGTGTAGGATCGACTTTGGCGGAAGACCCGATCGGATAATTTCGAGGAAACTAACAGCGGGTGTTTAGGAACCGATCCGAACCGTAACTTCCCTTTCGGATGGTCAGGTGAGTTAGGTCTTTTGCTAACCGGTGGTTTAATAAAGGGGGAACACGCCCCCCCCCCTCCATCACATGGTGATTAAAAGACAATGAAAGGAAAACGGAGGCAAAATGAGAAAGAATGAGGGGAGGAGATTTCAAAATAAGACAAACAACCCCTACCTCTTCCCCAATTATGTACTGCATTTGTATTCCATGCACCTGCTAAAATTAAGATTCGTGTCTCATCATCTATTAGCATCACTAGGAAGACAAAGGCAATGATGATGTATTGTACATAATGTATGGAAGCATGCAATTTCATTATGAAGGTGTGCTAATCTGCGAGAAATTACATACCATTGTCTATTCTAGAATATTAGTTTAGTCTGACATATCTGACATAGCAACTTATATGTTGCTATTGTTTGTGGTACTGTAAAAGGTGGTCAACTTTGGCAAAGTTACATGCCACTTTCTCAAGTTAGCTCATTGATGACTGACAGATGATGTCACAAGGGGAATGGGATCTGGAGGTTTTTGGGGTGGAGCTTAGCAAGTTTGAAAAACAAATATTTCAAAAAATGTTTAAAAATCTATGAAACAAATTCAGAAGTTTACATATCAAAATATGAGATGTATGCAGGACTGCACACCAACAGGAATACACTTCGATGTCATGGGCCCTTTAAAGAAAGTGTTTCTGACTTTGCTGGAGTTGTATATGTATCGTATTCGAATTGACTGGGGATGAAGAGATCTTGTGTTCGAGTCCTATAGCACGGCCCTTAACTAATCTTAAGCAAGGTATTTTGGCAGAATGGCAGCAGTTAATGAGTGCAGTGAAATCTGCAAATACATGCAGAATGCACGGTGTGCCTAATCGAATCCAATAAACAGATTAACAATTTGTAAAGGATTTAAAATGGGGGAAATTCTATACTCTTAATGGAAGAGAACTGGGCCCCCGTCTTATTAAAAAAAATTGCAATTGATCTGAATCAATCGCAAGTTTACAGCCACATATATCGTATGTGCACACATGTAGTTGCTATTGATATCAATCGCAATAAGTTGCGATTAATAGCAACTCTTTATACGACGGGGCCCTGTAAATCCCCTCCTTTGGGAGTCATATTAGGGATCATTTCGTTGTGGAGTTGAACCCACTCCAAAATTAGAAGTGGAATCCACTCCAAGCTAGATGTTCGCATGACACAATTGACATGTTTTAGGACGGATACAACTATTTTGGATAGGGATTTCCACTCCGGAATGAACGGATCACTACCTATAGTGGATTGACTGAATTCCCACTCCTGTCGATAGAGAGAGAGAACACGAACATAGTCATTATTATCAATATGCTTTTATCATCGCATCGTTCTAGGTAACGGTACCAGTCCATTTCCCTGCTCGAACATCTACCACGGAAAATCCGCACTCTCCGAAACTGAGATCGACGGCGTGGTCGAATACCTTCGCAGTCTGAAGGCCGGCGGACAGGACTTCCATGTCTTCATGGACTGGCACAGCTACGGACAGTATTTCCTCTCGCCGTGGTCGTACTCGGCCTACGCCCCGAACCCTCCCGACTACGATGATATGGTAAGAATGCAAAGATGGAAAGGGTGGATGTTAACCAATTGCATTAATTTCATTTCATTTATTTAATAATAATAATAATAATAATATGGATATTTACATAGCACCGGTATCCGCCAGGCTCTGACGCTCATGGCGCTGTACATAATATTTACAACAAAATACAAATGTCATGATAATAAATATTAAGCAAAATTTATTCAAAATATTATTACAATTGAGATAAAGAAAAAGAAATACTTAAATCAAAACCATTGAAAACGAGAAAGTAGAATAATTGCAAATTAAACTGGACATACAGTTAACAACTACATTATTCATACCCTTAATTTTATAGATATGTAAGTATGTGAAAATAGATTTATCCTGATTTATGTTGCTTGAAAATGTGACATATTATTATAAACGCTTACATCTAAAAGTATTCAGCGAAGGCCCTAATTCAACCAGTACACCTATGAATCTTGACTTACGAAAAACACAAAAATCACAAAATGTACACGGGGTATGAATAATTTAGAAGTTAACTGTATTTTATGTGGAAATTGAAAGATCCACCTGTGGATCGACCAGAGCCAGGTCGTATAAAATAGAATACAAATTATGAACAATTGTTAGAAATCGCAACTCTCCAGTCAAAGGCACACGATGCGATGTGAAAAATACTAAATTTCGGAACAGTTATATGGATAGGCCAACTAAAAAGAATTTGAAATTGCGATTCATCAGCTTAGAAAAAAGGAAGGGGTTCGCCTTCATTGTTGCCTGACATTGCACCATGTTTGGGGGATTCTTTCGACTCTGCCAGTCTTGCGAGCTATTGCCACATTGACCACAAATCTTGCCCAAATCTACAAGTTTTTAATATTTTCATTCTTTATGACTCCTTTTCCTCTCCAGATGTTGATGGGCAATGCTGCTAGTGACGCCATATTTGATGTGCACGGAACTGTGTTCCAGAGCGGTTCTTCTATTGAGCTTCTCAGTGAGTAGGCTGTAGGGCAGGCATTTCATACCATAACATCGATTTGTTTTCCTCCATCATTTTTCCCCCACCCCCACTCTCTCTCTCTCTCTCTCTCTCTCTCTCTCTCTTTCTATGTTCATTCAATTTAAAGTCTAATTTGTTTTCTCCTTATAATCATTACAAAATGGTAAACATAGATTGCAGTGAAGTAAATAATTTAGAAAATATACAGAGGTGAAAAAACCCGTTATGCAAATCATGTGTTGGGAATTACAAATAAACAAGTTATGGTAAGAACATCATTATACGACGTATTATAGGCCTTCATTATTATTATCAATACTTAAAGCCCAACTGTGCTACTTGCTCCCTCTATATAGAAAACAATGCCTAAGCGGTGCCCGTTTGTCTCCCATGGTCCTCTTTTTCTTATGTTAATTGAGAGCTGAGGTGATAAGATGGTTCCATGACACATGCTCCGCCGACGATTGCTCCGCCGACAAATGCTCCGCAAAAAGCGACTATTGCTCCGCGACATTTGCTCCGCGACATTTGCTCCGCCGACATTTGCTCCGCCGACAATTGCTCCGCCGACAATTGCTCCGCCGACATTTGCTCCGCCGACAATTGCTCCGCCGACAATTGCTCCGCCGACATTTGCTCCGCCGACAATTGCTCCGCCGACATTTGCTCCGTCGACAATTGCTCCGCCGACATTTGCTCCGCCCCCAAAGTACCCCGTTGAAGACAAATGCTCCATTTTGCAGGGGAAAAAAAGATAGGAAGAAAGGAAAAGAAAAGATAGGAAGAAAGGAAAAGAAAAGAAAATAAAAGGACAAGAAAACATGGAAAAGAAAAGGTCAAGAAAAGAGACAAGAAAAGGCTGAAGACAAGGAAAAACGGACACAAAATAGAATATAGGAAGATTAATGACGGTAAATCTTGCCGGCGCTACGTCGGGACACGTCGGAGAAAAACTAGAAATAAAATGGAGTATGAAATATACTACATGCTCGTGAAATAATCATTAGTGATTAAGGCAGATGGTTTTCAGTTATTATATGAAAAGGATGAAAATTCGCTTGCTCGCTACACTTTATATGTTAGCTAACTCGCTAAAAAATAAAATTGACATCGCCTTAATGTGCCCGACCCGTCCTGCAGCAAGAAAACTCTGTTGGATACTCATTATTGTTGACAATAATTCATGGGTTGAACGTTCGCTGTTCAGTTTATGGTATAAACGTGCCCATTTAATCAAGGAAGGAAATTATTAGCAGGAAGATGCTATTCAATATTATTCATAAGTCTACATTTTTAGCTCTCTCTCTCTCTCTCTCTCTGTATACCATCGTTTAATGAAAAGGGAATAAATATAACCTTAAATGATATAGTGCCCTAGAAAAATCACTATTTGTTGAAAGAAGGTCTATTAATGGTTGAACACAGTTTATCTGTTATTTAAAAGTTTCTGCACCTGCTCCCCCCCCCCCCCCCCCCCCCTCAAAAAGGGATTGGCTCTTTCGCAAAGGTTTATCTCTTTTTTCCCATCGGTGTCATCTGATCGTGGAATTAAAACTGCCCTTTCTTTCAGACGAGGCGGCCGGGTCCAGTAAGGACTGGGGGTACGTGCCCTACGACCCCACCAGCAAGTTCAAGGGTGGACTCGGGGCCAAGTACTCCTACACCGTGGAACTCCGTGACAAGGGCGAGTACGGGTTCCTGCTGCCCGAGAACCAGATCCAACCGGTTGGAGAAGAGATCTACGCTGGCGTCCGCGCCATCGGGGACTACATCCTCAGGGAGCTGGGCTTCATTGTCTAGATTGATGACCTCTGCTTTCAGCTGATGTTGATTCCTTGTACAGTCAAACCTGCTTTAGCGACCACCTGTCTACAAAGACCACATCTTTTCTCATTGAAACATGTACTGAATGAACCTGTACAAAAAGACCACCTGCCTATAAAGACCACTTTTCTTGTCTCCCTTGGGTGGTCTTTATAGACAGGTTTGATTGTATTATAATTATATTTTGTTGATTGGTTACCTGTTCTTCTTCAAGTTATCTGGAGTTTCGGTACTAACCGGATTACCCAATTGCACATCGTTCAATATGCAGTTATGGCTGTATAATCATTTTCTGTTTGAAACTAAATTAAGCATGTTGCGTTCCAGTTGCATTACATACCTCGCAGTACATTCATTGCTGAGTAATGTTACACTTCTGTCGGTGAAATATCTTTATTTTTGTTGTATTATTCTCTCAATATTTTAATTGTTCAACTGTCAATAAACTGGAGCAACAAAATATCTTAACCAGAAATAAAAATGCGTGTGGGCAAGGTTTTTGGAACAAAGTAGAAAAAGGAAACAGGTCAGATTTACTTTTGGTTATATAATAGGGAACCTATTACACAATTCAAACAGTTTGTTTATCTTATTTTCGACGTGAAGTAGCAAACATTTTTTTTCTTCATTAATTTGTTATCTTCGATTTAGTTTGTCATTTTCTGCTTCGCGTAATTTGTATAGGTCAGAGTTGAACATACCACTTTATAATTATCATGATTATATAGAATAACAATATCTTTTGAAGATCAAGAACATTATCATAACCATTAATGGATATAAAGTATTAAAAGATTATTAGGTGGTCTGTTGTCAACAGACCACCTATTGTTTTCGTCAGAATTTTCTTTCTTTATTTATTTATTTATTAGGTGGTCTGTCGTTTTCGACAGATCACCTATTGTTTTCGTCAGAATTTTCTTTCTTTATTTATTTATTAGGTGGTCTGTTGTCAACAGACCACCTATTGTTTTCGTCAGAATTTTCTTTCTTTATTTATTTATTTATTTATTTATTATTCTTTATTTTTATTTCTTCCCGTTTTTTGTTTATCGATTAACTCAAGATCGGTTGTGTTAATTTCTTTCAATTTTGACACAGTCATAGGTCATTGTCATGATACGTGACAGGAACATTTTCAAGGTCATCAGGTCATCGTGACGTCATCCAGGCGCCATTTTGTGAAATCACGTTATCCATCATATCTTCGTGATGCATAAGCAAAGGTCATTCATATTCATATCACATATACTTCAGGTCAAGGGTCAACAGGTCATGTCATCAAAGGTCACATAAAGGTCACGACGCGCACGTACGCGTGCGTCAAAATTTACAAATGCTCAAAATCACTTAACTATTAAAGGAGAGTACGAATCAGGTCATTTTAAGCATTTCAAAATTTTCCGTCCGTAAGTGTCCCCGCGCGCGTTGCGCGCGCTCATAGCGCGCGGAAAAGGTCAAATTCAAAATTTTTACATGATTTAGATTCCTCTTACCGTAAATGACAATTTACATTTTTTTTCAGTCACCCTTGACCTTTCATAAGGCCGTGAGCGCGCGTCAAAGTTCAAAATCCGCGCGTGCTGCTATGGGCAATATAATGCAAATTTGATCAAAAACATGCCATTTTAAAAATCATAATAGCTCTTCAGATAGTCCATTGACCCCAACTTTTATATCATGGTTAGAAAAAGCATGAGTTGGAGATATGATTCCATGTCTCATTTGACCCTCAATTGACTCATGACGTCATCATAATGGCCTCCGAACTCAAAATTTCAATTTGCATATTATGACGTCATCATATTTTTGGAAAATTGATTGTATCTTTGTAAATATTAATTAATTTTCTTCCAAATTTTGATATGTTCTACCTGAGAATATTGTCTACAAATGCAGTCACCACGATATTTCATTTTGACAAGGGCATCATGGCGTATTTTCGCGATTAAAGGAGGCATGTCAATTTTTCACATTTTGCGTGTATTCTCTATGGGACATGACTTTTTCTCAAAACTGGATTCTACATTCTCGTCTGTCGCGAGCAATATCTCTGTCGTTTTATCTTTGTTTACGCTGAGCTTTGAGTATGTTGTAGCTGAGACAATAAGCTATCACAGTGTGCCATTTATTTCTCGATTAGATGACGGGATCATGCTCATATTTCACTTGCAAAGTGGGATTTGAGAATTTCATTTTCCGTTTACGTGTATTCTCTATGGGAAATGTTTTGGTATATCGGTAACGCGCTTGATTTCCGACCTCGAGGTCCCTGGTTCGAGTCCGGGCGTCTCCAACAATTTTTTTTTTGGTTTTTTTTTTTGACTTTTCAATGATCATAAAATTGAAAACAGACCACCTAATTCGTCACCATGACGAATTCAATTTCTAGTTAGGTGGTCTGTCGTTTTCGACAGATCACCTATTGTTTTCGTCAGAATTTTCTTTCTTTATTTATTTATTTATTATTATTAGGTGGTCTGTCGTTTTCGACAGATCACCTATTGTTTTCGTCAGAATTTTCTTTCTTTATTTATTTATTATTATTATTATTATTTATTTTTATTTCTTCCCGTTTTTTGTTTATCGGTTAACTCAAGATCGGTTGTTTTAATTTCTTTCAATTTTGACACAGTCATAGGTCATTGTCATGAGACGTGACAGGAACATTTTCAAGGTCATCAGGTTATCGTGACGTCATCCAGGCGCCATTTTGTGAAATCACGTTATCCATCATATCTTCGTGATGCATAAGCAAAGGTCATTCATATTCATATCACATATACTTCAGGTCAAGGGTCAACAGGTCATGTCATCAAAGGTCACATAAAGGTCACGACGCGCGCGTACGCGTGCGTCAAAATATTAAAATGCTCAAAATCACTTAACTATCAAAGGAGAGTACGAATCAGGTCATTTTAAGCATTTCAACATTTTCCGTCCGTAAGTGTCCCCGCGCGCGTTGCGCGCGCTCACAACGCGCGGAAAAGGTCAAATTCATTTGTTTTACATGATTTATATTCCTCTTACCGTAAATGACAATTTACATTAATTTCAGTCACTCTTGACCTTTCATAAGGCCGTGAGCGCGCGTCAAAGTTCAAAATCCGCGCGTGCTGCTATGGGCACTATAATGCAAATTTGATCAAAAACATCCCATTTTAAAAATCAAAATAGCTCTTCAGATAGTCAATTGACCCCAACTTTTATATCATGGTTGGAAAAAACATGAGTTGGAGATATGATTTCATGTGTCATTTGACCCTCAATTAACTCATGACGCCATCATAATGGCCTCCGAACTCAAAATTTCAATTTGCATATTATGACGTCAACATATTTTTATAAAATTGATTGTATCTCTGTAAATATTAATTCATTTTCTTTCAAATTTTGATATGTTCTACCTGAGAATATTGTCTACAAATGCAGTCTCCACGATATTTCATTTTGACAAGGGCATCATGGCGTATTTTTTGCGATTAAAGCAGGCATGTCAATTTTTCACATTTTGCGTGTATTCTCTATGAGACATGACTTTTTCTCAAAACTGGATTCTACATTCTCGTCTTTCGCGAGCAATATCTCCATCGTTTTATCTTTGTTTATGCTGAGCTTTGAGTATGATGTAGCTGAGAGAATGAGCTATCACGAGTGTGCCCTTTATTTTTCGATCAGATGCCGGGATCATGCTCATATTTCACTTATAAAGTGGGATTTGTGAATTCTATTTTCCGTTTACGTGTAATCTCTATGGGAAATGTTTTGGCATATCGGTAACGCACTTGACTTCCGACCTCGAGGTCCCTGGTTCGAGTCCGGGAGTCTCCAATAATTTTTTTCTTTTCTTTTTTTTTTCTTTTTTGACTTTTCAATGATCATAAAATTGAAAACAGACCACCTAATTCGTCCCCATGACGAATTAAATTTCTAGTTTATTATTATTATTATTTATTTTTATTTCTTCCCGTTTTTTGTTTATCGGTTAACTCAAGATCGGTTGTTTTAATTTCTTTCAATTTTGACACAGTCATAGGTCATTGTCATGAGACGTGACAGGAACATTTTCAAGGTCATCAGGTTATCGTGACGTCATCCAGGCGCCATTTTGTGAAATCACGTTATCCATCATATCTTCGTGATGCATAAGCAAAGGTCATTCATATTCATATCACATATACTTCAGGTCAAGGGTCAACAGGTCATGTCATCAAAGGTCACATAAAGGTCACGACGCGCGCGTACGCGTGCGTCAAAATATTAAAATGCTCAAAATCACTTAACTATCAAAGGAGAGTACGAATCAGGTCATTTTAAGCATTTCAACATTTTCCGTCCGTAAGTGTCCCCGCGCGCGTTGCGCGCGCTCACAACGCGCGGAAAAGGTCAAATTCATTTGTTTTACATGATTTATATTCCTCTTACCGTAAATGACAATTTACATTAATTTCAGTCACTCTTGACCTTTCATAAGGCCGTGAGCGCGCGTCAAAGTTCAAAATCCGCGCGTGCTGCTATGGGCACTATAATGCAAATTTGATCAAAAACATCCCATTTTAAAAATCAAAATAGCTCTTCAGATAGTCAATTGACCCCAACTTTTATATCATGGTTGGAAAAAACATGAGTTGGAGATATGATTTCATGTGTCATTTGACCCTCAATTAACTCATGACGCCATCATAATGGCCTCCGAACTCAAAATTTCAATTTGCATATTATGACGTCAACATATTTTTATAAAATTGATTGTATCTCTGTAAATATTAATTCATTTTCTTTCAAATTTTGATATGTTCTACCTGAGAATATTGTCTACAAATGCAGTCTCCACGATATTTCATTTTGACAAGGGCATCATGGCGTATTTTTTGCGATTAAAGCAGGCATGTCAATTTTTCACATTTTGCGTGTATTCTCTATGAGACATGACTTTTTCTCAAAACTGGATTCTACATTCTCGTCTTTCGCGAGCAATATCTCCATCGTTTTATCTTTGTTTATGCTGAGCTTTGAGTATGATGTAGCTGAGAGAATGAGCTATCACAAGTGTGCCCTTT